GACACTATAATAGTGCATTTGCAAGCTATGCATAATTCAGCAGTGATGAATTCTTCCAGACATCATCTGCAGGGAATTTTGCATAAGTATGGACTTAATAACTTGTCCCTTTGTGTGTGTGCATAAGTGCTCCTAAGGGCATCATTTGGCCTGCAGAATGCCTATTACTGGAGATGGTGAGCAGGAAGCATCCCCTCTGAGTCCTGAAGCCTGGGCTAAAATGATAGGATAGGTCGTTAGAAAGGTCTTATTTGTAAGCAGGCATGAGACATGAAGCCCCATTTGTGATTTTTTTAAAAATTCATTTATGCAGTCACTTTTCAATAAAGAGATACAAAATATCCAGTTCACAAAAGACTAAGTGATAAGGCAGGTTTTTCAAGAGCACTAGTTAAGATACACAGAAACATACGGGGCCATCTAAACAAGCAGTCTGGTGGTATAGCCATTTGTGATGGAGTTAAAACTGCTCAGTTAAAACTGCTGAACTGACTCATCCCAGCTGTGTATTCTCTGTCCTCCTCAATGGCCAAGTCAGGCTAGGAGGAAATATGTTTTACCTTGCAGCTGGAATAGGATAAGAGCATGTAAGTGGACAATTATGATGACTCAACTGACGGGAATTCGTCTTTTGTTATCTTTTATGTCTTGTTCCGCTTTTCGTTTTTAGAGGGCAGATAAGCTAGTAGCTCCTAGTCAAGCTACTTGTGTGTGCATTTTAAGACCCTAATTTTAAGTACTCTTAAAATAAAAGGTTGACTTGCTCTTGGAACTGCATGGACCGTAAAATATATGAATATGTGGATAATACATATTTTGCCATTGCTAAAATGTCAGCAGGAGCAGTAGGGGTTTAGGAAGATCCCCTCAGCCACAGGTTGTTTTCCCACTGCTCCTAGAAGGTCTACAAAGTAGTATGTATGACAAGTAGGTCATACAAAGTAGTATGACGTAATTGTCCCTCTGCAATAGTCTTCAAACTATTGTTTAAAATTGCCAAGTGCATATTGTTCTTTATTAAGAGTAAGGCAGCAGCACGGAGCCTACAGCTATCAGGAGATAATCATTCCCCAAGGGCATTTGAGGCACTTCACAACCAAAAGGTTGTGATTACAATTGTTATGATGCTTATTCCTTATTGCTTAATTATGGAACCATGCTTCCTGGATGCTGTCATTCTAAGTAACGTTCTCCAGTTGCCCTGCTCTGACTGATTCTGTTCTACGTGGACTGGGGACATTTGTGGTGTTTTGAAATGACATGGGGGATAGCAGTGAGATGGGCCAGTTGTGGCAGCTCCGTTCTGGCCCTCAGGAGACCAGGACATTCATTGCCTGCTTTGACAAATACTTCTGGAGAGACCTTTGTTAAGTTACTGGCTTCTCTATAACTCCCTTGTACCTCTGTGCAGGTGCCACAGTAGCTAACGCTGTATATATACTGAAAACTGACATAATGAATTGGAGTTAATATTAATCTCCAGGTACTGACTCAGAGAACAAGCTAGGAAGACATTGCCTTTATTTTTACCATGTGCAAATTCAGCCAGCTTAGTTTGAACAGCCTTTGCTGGCCTACAGTGGCATAGGAGTGAGAAAGCAAGAAAAGAGGGCATTTAATGTCTTAAAATGCTCTGCCTAATTTCCCAAGGCATACAGCTACAACCCAAGTGGCCTGGCTGTCAGAAGAGTTGCTTTTGATGGCCCACAGTACTGTTCAAGTATCCTAAGACTTATTCAGCTTTCCATCTCTGATTAAATTAGGCGGATGTATTTGTGCTTCGTGGGCCTCGGTGCTGTCATGTGCCACATGCAGATGGTTTAGGACGTTCACAACAAGCTCTCTGAAGCAGGTGGCCAGTGAGGCTGGGTTGCAGGAGATGCTGTCTGCATTCACTGCTGGTTCAGTGGGTCGCACTCAGTTCCCTGGAAAAGCATGATTTGGTTTCACATTGGACGAATCTTGCATTTTTCTTTGGCCTTTTCCTGGCTGGTCATAGAAATCTACCTTGACAGGCTCTTTTTCAAGTCAGTGATTTAATACTTGATTGAATTGTGTAACCTATCCTAAGGAAGGAAGAAACCATGCAGCATATATTTTGACATTAGCCATGTTTTATGCATGTCTACATTTAAGAAAAGCTGGTGGGAGGATGGGAGGTAAATTTCAGGTTCTGAACCATTCCCTAAATTTCGAGATGAAACTCTTCTTGAATTTCTTTCCTTAGGTTTTGGTTTATACAAACATGAAAAAGAAATAGAATTGATGACGCTCTGTTATTATTGCGAGGCTGGCGTAAACTCTTCTTAATGACGTGCTTTCTAAAGCAGCAGTTGGTTTTTCTTTTAAATCCCCCTTTTCATTAGTGAAATAGATACAAGCGTTCATAATACCTTGCATCACAGTGCTCTCTGCTAGCATACAGCTTCCACGCTCTGCAAGGCTCTGTATGGAATCCTGCTAGCCGGCTCTTGTGTCATAAATAGAATTTGTACAGGAAATAAAAATGCATTGTTTCCATTGTTAGAGGATGCTACTAAATTGGCTGTATGTTTGCCTAATAATCACATCTAAAGCTGATTATTCTGGTAATAGCCTTAAGATATTATTTAAAAATAAATATATAAATGCAGTACTTTTGTACTAATACTAGTTTTTAATCTCTTCTTGTTTCTATGAAGTCTGAATGAGATTTTCAAAATTGAATAATAATTTGATCCGTTAATCTTTTGAAGCTAGTAATTTTATTTTCCCCTCTTTGCAGTCTCTGAGGCTCGCAAATGAATAGAGCTTCATTACTGGAGTCTGCATTTAATAACCATTATCCATTATCTTGTAATTAAGACTCCCTGTAACGAATCATGAGGACAATGCAAAAATACATAGTACATTTCTTTAATGAACTGGAAAATGTTCATCTTGTTCTATTTAGTAATGAGTTGCTGAATAGTCGTTAAATCCACTGGAGAATAGAGCTAGATGGATTTTGAAGACTATCTTGAGTTTGTGGCTAATCTATTAGAATTAAAATTTCATCTTCTATTTTTATCAACAGCTGATTAGAAGTCATTCTGTTTGACCAAATTGATTAGAAGACCATATACAAGGGCAGCTGTTGTTTAATGAAAGTTTTTAATGAAACTGTACCATAGAGACTTGTAATTATAAGACTTATAAAAGCTTTGACTTACCTTATACTAGAAAAAAAAGTATTGCGCTGAAGGACTTTAAGCACTACATTTCAAAAGGGAAATTAAAAATACAATTTGGCAGTGTTAAAGTTTCACTTCTGCTATTATTTGTTTAATGTGACTATTGGATGTCCGTAGTGCATCTCTGAAAGAGAGTAGTTCCAAAGTTGTACTTCAGCTGTTCTCTCATATGGGCACAGTTCTTTGCAAAGCTGAATAACTATTAATTGCCTCTTTTTCATATTGCATTTTCTCTGGGGTTAGATCTTTGTTCATGAGAGTTCATTTCTACTTAGAAAGGGAGTTGTCATATGATGGTGCAATTTAACCACCAGTGGTCTGAGTTAGTACCTAGGCTGGAAGCCTACAGAGAAAACCCAGGCTCCATGTTGATGATACAGCTGGAGCACACATGAATCACTGGATGCAGAAACATGCCTGGCTTTGTCCCAGCTTCCCATCGGGTTGAGACCTAAGTGTGTTTTCCATCACCAGAGACACAGGGCTCTGCAGTACACAGCCAAATGTGGTCAAGCCACCCTGCTTTGAGCAAGGAGTGACACTGCTCTTTAGAGGATGTTGTAGAGGCGTCATCATTCAAAGAAGAGAAAAAAAACAGACTCTACAGATTTGAAGTGGAAGCAGATGCAGGTCCAATTGACTTAAGTGAATGAGGCATTACTGCACTATGTTGGAGTTAGCCCTCTTCTCCACACAATTAATTTTGGTAATGAATGATCCCACCTTTTCCAAGAAGTAGGTTCCCAGGGATGAAGTAGGCCCTAATGCAGTTAAAGAAGTTTTGTCATTGTGTTGTGTCAGTGCAGGATCAGACACTGCCAACCGTTTTTATTTTATGGGGGGAGACTTTCTTAGCTCTTTATAAACAGAATATTGTGTTGAAGGATTCGTTTCAAGCCAAGCCAAAACAGCAAGTGTTTATAAAACCACTACACAACAATTTGGGATGTACAGTAGGACAGCTCAGCAGTGTACACAAATGAGAAGGCATAAAAAAAATAAGCTGATATTAACCCTGCTTTTTAAATAGCACCAGTGCTTTTGACCTTGCTTTTGGATTGTATTTGTTCATGGCTTAAAATACATTAAATTGCAATATTACAATTACAAAATACATAAGAAATGAGTTTTTTCCCACTGTTTGCAGTATCATACAGCTGATATAATAAAAACCCATGGAATTTCTTTCTTTTCACATTAAACATCTGTGAGAGAAGATAGGTTACCTTACTGTCAAATATGAGACTAAATGGATACAAGGTTTGATTAAAAACCTAATGAAAATTTTTATTCCAAAAGGTCTTTGTGATAATATTAAAATGTTGATTTATATGCAAGCATTTTTCAGAGGACATCATCTACCTTATTGTGATTAATTCATACATGCACACATGGATAGAGGTAGATATATAGATATATATATATATATACACCCCCACAAATATATATATATAGTCTTGACGAGATTGTTGGTCTGATAGTTGGAGCAAAAAATTAAGCACTGAGGTGCTTGCTGGGCCCCACCTTGGGATGTTATAATTGCTCTGAAATTTAAGGGGTATCTTAGTCTCCTGTTTTATCCTCAGCCATAGCTGAGGTTAAATTAACCTCGAGTTAGCTATGGGTTAAATTAACCCCGTAGCTGGGCTAATTCCAGTACCACAGGGGCAGGAGGAGGAGATCTTCAGAATTGTAAGGTATAAGGACATAGTTGGAGTGCATGAACAATATTTGCGCAGATTTATTGGTTTTTCTGAAACTAATGTAATGTTTTTTACTTCCTTTAAGGTTCTGATTTTATAAAGACATCTACAGGAAAAGAAGTTGTAAATGCCACCCTCCCGGTTGGAGTAGTTATGATGCGAGCCATTAGGGATTTCTACTGGAAAACTGGCAACAAGGTGATTCACACTGCCTTCCTAGAGATCAACCACACAGGTTTATTCAGAAGGAAACAAGACTACCAGTTTCAAAATAGGAAGCATACAAGTCTGTCTACGGTCACTTCTGTGATAATATGAACAATAGATGATGGGCCTTTGCTCTCACGTTCCTCTTACTCTTTGCTAACAATTACTTAATTTTTTTCAAAAAAGAAGATCCACCAAGAAGCCTCTTTGACCTTCCTCCCATGACTAGCTGTGGCTTCATTCCCTCAAAGCACACGTGATCTTAATCCATCCGCTGCTGCTTGGTCTTTGAACATGTTTAAATGATCACATCCATGAAGGGTGGCTTCCCATCTGAAGTTGACAGGGATTGGCACAGCTCCATGAACTTCCATGGAGCTGCACAAATCTAGAGCCATTGCCCAGTGTACATGTCTATCTTTTCCGACTTTGCCCAGGGGATAAATTCTGCTTTTCTCCTCCTTGGCCGGAGAGAGAGGATGGTCCTGAGAGAAGTGGAGCTGGTGGGATGGAGCCTCCTGGGAGCAGGGATGGGGCAGGGGGAGAATCCCGGGACACCCAGTGTGTCAGACGGGTTGTGGTCATGGTGTGTCCTTGGAGGTAGGCAGGAGTGAGGAGCTTAGAGCAGACCCTATGATGGGCTGCCCGTGCATCCGTCTGTGCACCAGAGTGGAATGAGATGAGGGAGTTACCTTAGGAAGCCTTAAATCCCCATTGCACCTCCTGTGTCCTCAGACAACTGGAAACCCCCCATTTAGACGCAGTGCAGGTCTTTGCCAGTGGTCTGTCTCCATGCCTGTGTCCTGAGGGAAGGAGACCACATCGTTAAGATGCTCTGCCTGTTTCTAGGCCCCTCTCCAGCTGGCCCTTCTGCAGGTGAGAAGCACCTGGAGATGGGTGCACATGTGATGGGATAGTGGTGGAATGTTAGGGCATGGTATGAGTGGTGGGATGGGGTCTGAGCTGGCTTTGGTGGGTGCTGTAACTTACGGAGCACATGACACCAGGCCAGATGCACCTCCATCGGCTTCCCACAGTAGTCTAGGGGAGGCCAGCGTGGACCCTGCGCTGTTTCCCACCCATCCCTTCCCCAGCCCACATCTGCCCATGCTGCACAGCAGCTCCAGGAGCTCCCGTAGGCTTGCTCGAGTGGGAGCAGCGTTGTGGTCAACCTCAGACCAGGTGCCTGTGCCCAGCACGTGTGCAGGCTGTACAAGCCGCCGGCCAGAGGGAGAGGCTTTGCTGCATTAACACAGGCTTTGGAGATATAATTGGTAATAAACGTGGAATTTACCTTTGGCGCTAAAAGAACGCATTCGTAGTATAAAATGTGTTATTAAGAAAGAGTGCTTATGTCTGCGTGCATGTGTGTGAGTGAATACAATGTAAACTGACTTTATATGCTTTTATTAACCGAAGACAATATTATCAGTGACAAGAGATTTCTAAACAGTTTCTTTAACAAACTAATTTTGCTGCTGTAGAGATGCTTTCTAGCAAGGCGTTGGCTGGGAAAAACAGGTTAATGCAGAAATTAAACTTCTTCGAGGAAAGGAACAAGTTGCAGAGTAACATTTATTGAATGATAAGCTGTGGTGGTGATATGAAAAGTGTGCAATATAATGGGAAATAATCTTTTCCTGTCATTATTGAAGGGCATACATAAATTGGTTTTTCTGTTGGGAAAACCCCCAATCCAGAAAAACTTATTACTTTTAATAATATAAGGTGAAGAGAAAATTCTCGAGGAGATGAACTTATTAAGCAAAATAATGAAATGCTGTGAAACAGCAGGAAAGTGGTAGCTGGACTTTATACTGCTCTTGAATTAAATGCCCCTCTCCCCCCCTGCCTTTTTGCGTTTTTATGGTAGTCAGATGTGCCATTTGGAAAGCTGGTAAATGGAAAAGAGGAGAGGCTTGTCTTTGTCAGCTTTTTTGCAGAGAAAAGACCTTTCAGAATTTGCTTAAAGGGAAAGAAATTCTGCATGGTGTTTTTTATTATTTTATTAACTGAGTTTTACTAGGTTTTGCTATAAATTATCTCAAAGAGCTATAATATTTGCAGGAAGAAATATAAATGTGAATTTGATTAGAATTTCTCTTCCTGAGGGAAAATGCATTCATACTGTTTTCATTTATTGTCTAGAAGATGCTTTTCCAGTTGCTGTGGTTAAATTCCTTTTGGAAATCTAATGTTAACAGACGCCTGCGTACTCTCACACATCCATCCATGCACATAAACACAGTCTTTGTGTTTTGAATTTATTGAGCTCTTCCTGTTACGATTCTTTATAATCTTATTGGAAATATACTGTTATCAGAATGCTTCAGTGTGAGAGAAGGATTTATTCTATGCTTGTTTTTTCCCAAAATCACTATAAAAATTACCATAGCTATTTAAATGACAGATACTTTTTGATTCTGCTAAAATATCTATAAGATACAGAGGAATCTTCAAGGCAGTGAGGTTTCAGGAGTGCACACACAGAAATCAGAATGATAATTCCCACAGAAGCAGGCTAAACGGAAAAGTCTACCCAAGATAAAGATTTACGGTGCAGGAAAATATAAAAAGAATCATATTGTGCCACTACACAGATGGTTCCGATTTTCCTGATATTTGATGCAGAAAACTTGTTGCCAGTTCTCCTTGTTTTCCAAGGATTTATTAAGGATTTATTAAACTGCTGCGTGGAAGCTCTGTCTCCGAATGAGATGTGTTTAAAACGGCATGCGACCAAAAGTCTGGCCTTAGGAGAGTCCCCACCGAGTCACCTCCTTGCGGGTTCTGCACAGGAGACTGGGTCGGGGCATCAGGAAGTGTTTCCCTAAGGACAGGTATCTCCTGGCAGTTCATCTGACCAAACCAAGGCACTGAAAGGGTATCCAGCATGTGGGGGAAGAGAAGTTTCGCTGTTCCTGGGAAGCACAACACTTTCCATTGCTGGTGAAGTCAGTCTCACCTGGAAAATAGTTCATAAAATTAGCAAACGTACTGTTTGCATGCATTAATTTTAGTGAAAAAATACAGCAATAAATAGGTTAGCATTTAGAACTCCAGTCATGTATAACCACTGTGCACAGGCTTTTTTATAAAGCGCAGTCATCTCTGGCTGCTCACCGCGTGAGCCCAGTCACATCGTGTGTTTTATTTCAGCATTTTGGTTTTATATGGTTGTGTGTATGTTTGTTGTTCTACTGTTCTTGTATGTTTGGAGCTAAAATGCGGCATGGGTAGCAGCTGATACGCAGCAATCCTAGGTTCTGCCTAAATCCCTTGGCCTGATATTTGTTATTGGCGAAGTCCTCTCTTGTGCCTTGAAACCAGTTTCTGACACTTAGTGAAATGGGGTCTAAAGTGTGGCTTCTCCACTTCCCATTGCAAATATATATGTATACGTACACATAACAGGAACTTTTAGGCTGCAGGTACACAAATGTTAGTTGCTCTTTGAGGGACAATAATCACTAAAATTGTATTCCATTTCTTTTTTTTTTTTTTATATAAAGGTTGGCTTTAAACCTGCTGGGGGCATTCGGACAGCAAAAGATGCTATTTCTTGGCTTATGCTGGTGCACGAGGAGCTAGGAGTGGAGTGGCTAAAACCAGAGCTCTTTCGCCTGGGTGCCAGTAGTTTGTTGGAAGATATCGAGAAACAGGTCAGTTATTAACAACTTTCAACTTGGTCGATAAAAAAAAGTTACCTTTCTGCCTGTGCTGGCTTCCTGTTTTTGCAGAACACGTGTTTTGTCCTGTTTGAGAGGTAATGGAACACACATCTAATTTGTTATTACCGACAAGTTCACCTCCAGCCCAATGTTTCCTTAAGTCTGGCCTGTCATTACGGGAAGGCTTACGGGCCTCCGGTGTTGCAGGCCGCTCGCAGCCGCCTGGGCCAGGTTCACAAGTGCAGTGAGTGAAGAGGCTTGACCAATACATAGACAGGGGCTTTTTCAGAGGGATGGCAGCTGTTGGCACTTCAGCTGACCCTCAGAATACTTTGCAGACCCTCCACATCACTGTGCACCCTGTATTTCCATGCTGTGGTGAAAATTGTGTCTCACTCCACATAGGAAACTGCTGAGTGAAGTTTTACACGCCTCGTAGTTGCAGTGGCAACGTGTAGTTCCCAGTAGGGAGAACGGTTTGGACCTCTGTGCTTGTGACCTACCTCACTGGGATCTATCCCTGAAAGATGGAGGAGAGATGAACGCGTTGTAGTGTCCTAAGCAGTGCTAAACCACTAGGGCTATAGAATTTCTCTTTAATGTTCATAAAGCTCAGGAGATCAGATGGTATTAGGTCCCAGCAAGAAAAAAATAGGAATCCTTGTTCTGTTGCTGCTGATGGAAGAACACAAGTGGCAAAAACCATCAGTCTGTTCCTTTTCCCCACCTTCACTAGCATTGGAAAGAATGGCATCTCTTAAGAAATTCAGAACAGCTGAAAGAGGAATACTCATGACTGTTGAAAAGCCCTGTGTGCCTTTTGCAATGAGAATCATAACTGTCTTTGCTCACTGCTACTGGCCTGCCTCTGCCTTGCTCTTGACCTAAAATCATGTCCCTAGTCATGGCAGGAAAGCTTGAGCATTCCTGTTGCTGCTGAGTCTTACAAGACAGCCCGTGCATGTGGTGACTTGTCCTGGTTTCTGAGGGGAGTGATGCTCTTGCCTGCCAAGGATTGGACTGAGCCCCAGTCATGATCCAGGCTCCGCTCTGCTGGGGAATCTACGGAAGACAAAATGCCCCAGTCAGGAAGCTTTATACCAAAATAGCAAAAATGGGGAGATTCCCCCAAGTCAAGAGAGTTAAAAGAATCTTCCTGCTTCAAACATAGCAACCAGATCCCCAAGTTCAGACCCTATGAGCAAGAATAAAAAGGTATGTTCATTATTTTTATATGTATACAAGCAGATACCCAAACAGATAGCCACAATTTTCATCTGACACACCTTTAAGTTGTTACTTTCTTAACATAAATTTATAGTTATACATAAGAAGTCCATAATTTTTCTTTTTCTCTTGCAGATTTTCCTCCATGTGACTGGCAATTACGCAGTTTGTCATGACTTGCCAATGGCTTAGGCGCAAAATCAACTCAAGATTAGTTTTCATAAAAAGAGATCTTTAAGAAAATAACACCCAGAAATCTTCTGACATCCAAGTGCATATGATGGAATTAATTCTGCCTTCTTCATATTTTATAGTATTTAAAATTAAGGTCTGCCAGTTGTGCTTGATCCAAAAGCAGAAAAAAAATGGTAATTCTGAAATAGTTAAATGGTTAATATATACAGATTTGCAAAGTTAATCTTGCGAAGTCTTTCGCAGACCAGCCTGAAAAGCTTATTAATGGCAACACTGAAATACTATGAAAAAGATTTAAGTGGCCTGGCAACACTTTGCAGTTGCAGAATATGAAATATCTCTGGAATGTTTCACATATTGCTAATTAAGAGCTACAGCTTATGGAACAGCTTTCTATTCACCTCAGACTAAATCTTCTGCCACAGATATGTTGCACTATTAATTGTTATGTTGATTCAGTTTCAAGCATTGTAACCTGAAGAAAATGAAACTTGGCTATTACTTTCTTTTATAAAATGTCTTTGTAGCAAAACCCTTTTTTGTATTTTTTTTTCCCAAACTTGGTCGCAGACATCCATATTTAGGCCCTCGAATAAAGGTGGCTTGATTTCCAGAACAGCTGAGTACCCACAGTTGCTCCTGAAGTTAATGGGAGCTCTGGGTGATCAGAACAACTGAAAATCAAGCAACTTCTATATAGGTGCCTAACTATGCATTCAGAGCTCTATTTTTAGGCATTTCATTCTTTACATTTTTGTCTAACTTGCTTGGAAGCTCCCATTCCCTACTGCAGTCATTTTTAAACACATTCATGTAAATCTTTTCATTTTAATATAGGTGTTTTTGACTGCTAGTTCGCAGGTGTCGCTGTTTTACTGGCTGAGCTTCGACTTTGCCATCTAAAAACAAGTCTAATTTCAAAGCTGATCTGAATTACGTTCTACACTGGGTTCGCCATGCTCTTTTACACCTTTAATGTAAGAAGTATTTTCCTCGGAGCCCATTAATAATACCCAAATCATCAACACCTTCGGATTTTCAGACTGCAGCTAGTAGATTCATTATTTCAGAACTGCATTCTACTCACTAACCAGAGTTGTACTAAAAACTTAATTATCTTATCATCATGACTAGTCTCACTGACTTAAGTAGGTCTCATTAGGGAAGTAAGAGGAGGAGGATTTTGCTGTAAATCAAGCTACAAGTTACATTTATTACAAAGTCATCCTTGCTTCATAAAGATAATGATTAAGTTATTTGTCTGGTTAAACCACCTGAATTGCCAGCGCTCTGCAAAACATCCTGGACAGACAGGAAAGTTGAAATGAGAAAATAAATTAGAGAATACAACATATGCAGGAAGCATCCCGTACGCAATGCTCAGTGCTGAAAAAGTGCTTTAATTTCCTGGGAAGGAGGCCATACAAGGCTTTCTGCCTTTTCCTGTTTTAGGTCTCGATATACAATGGGGATCAATAGACTAAGCTGTGACAATATTTTCACACATTTGTTTTTTGGAAAGTGGTCTTTTTTACCACAGATTTTCTTTCTGATCTCACCACATGGTTGAAGGGAAAAACAGTGTTTTCCTGACTATTTAGAGCTGTCCAGTTGGGGCAGCAGGAGACATGGGGGTAGAGCCAAGCTCCAGCACAACTCCCAAATGCCATTTCAGGGGATGAGGTGCCCCAGCACAGGGCTTGCATCCATCTGGGAAGTAGAGCCAGACATGCTGGACCCCGGCACCGTTGGGAATTTGTGGAGCTGGGAATGATAGTCATGTGCTGAGATGAAATAGGGAAGGGAATAAAGCAAGAAACTGCAAATCTAGAAGATTCTGTATCAACTTACTTAAAAGAAGAGGGAATTGGGTAAAAGGTTCAGCTTTATTTTCATGGAAGGAAAAGGAAGGAAGGTAGGAAGCAAAAAGATATTATATAGTAATTATATATGAAGTATGCATGTAAGCTGGAGCAAGTAATGCTTTGATATCTTTATTTCATCAGTATTACAAGTTTGTTCATTCCTTCTCTTTCTGACTCATAGAACACACTTTATATACCATAGCACATGCTACTGAGACAGAAAAAGAAAGATCTTTTAATTTTATTTTGCTCAGTTGGAACTTTGGCTCTTTGCCTCCCTCAGGAAAAATGCAACAGGTTGTATCCAAATCTTTGTGAGCTTTTGCTGAAATTATGAGTTCTGACATCTGGATGATATTTTTTTAAAAAAGAAAAAGTGCATAGTAGTAGTAGAAGGAGAGAATTACTTTTAATTAGATTCAGCCTGCCCAGGAGAGAAAGATGGAGAAATGTCCATATGGTCAGTTCTTATTTACTAGGGCAGCCAAGGATAAGAATATTCTTGCTATGTGAAGACACTGTAGGTGAAAGTAGCAGTTGGACATTTTAATTAAAATCCTCTAGAGTCTGAAATATGCTAATTTTAACAGTGGTGAAACTCAGGAAAAAGTATCAAAAAGGTTGCAGACTTTAGGTAACTAAAGGCAAGGGTAAGCAAGCCGGTGATGGGTGACCATCAAATCCAAACCAGGTATATTGCAGAGACTCTATCTCTGTTCTAGAAAACGTACAGATTTTTCCATTTCTGTGAGGACCTAAGCTAACTGCGTACTGAGAAAAAATGTGCAAAGTTGTTTTAATGTCCTTTCATGAAATTTAACATGGATGTAAGAAAAAGTGCCTACAGATGCTCCAACCATTCCTAATGAGCCTAGTGATTTTAAGGGTCTCTGAGCACTGGGGACATCTTGTGGATTTATAATTCTCAGAAATTGCAGAAAAAGCTCATATTCTGGAAGCAAAGCTTTCCTGAGGCATAGCAGTTTCAAACTGCCGAGATTACAAGTTGTATTTGAAAACACGGAATTGTAAGAAAGAGCATCGATTTAAAGTTGCTTCTTTAGCTGAGATGAAAACAAAGGATTTTTCTAGAAAAAAAAAAGAAAAAGGAGCTTTGAAGGCCAATCTGGAAGAGATTAATGTAATTTTCATATGGTACCATGTTGTACAAAATGAAAACCAAAATGCATGATGGCTTGCCTAAGAAATAGAGAAAAAGTGCAACCTCTATAAACTTGTTTCATTAATGGCATGAGATCTGTTTTCATTCTAAGACTCAAAAAAATTACCATCTCCTTACTGTCTGCATCTAACAAACAGGCAAAGCAACCAGCCAGTCTCCATGGCTCAGCCAAGGCCGGTTTCCAAAGCACTGGTAAGGATGGTTTGGTTAAGGGTTCCCATCACTGCCACAGCTGGAGAAGCAGTTGCTCCTGCAGGCAGGCTCCGAGCTGGGTGGTTCAGTAGGGAAGGGATTACTCCAGTAAGGTGCAAAAATCCATCATTAGTGATTGCTGCTCCATCGAGGGTATTTCTTGCTCCAGCACTCAGAACTTAGCAACCAGCTTCCAGGAGAAGCTGCAGAATGCATGTTCTCCAGGATTTAATTAAATTACAGGTAAGTTGATTAAGGATGTTATCCTCATTTCCCGGGCTGTCCTTGTGTCAGGGCCCTGGATGGAGGCTGGCACATCTCACTGCTTCCAGCAGCGTTCGGCAGAGTCGTGGGCTTCCATCAGAGTGCAGGCACCATCTCACTCAGGATTCCTTGCTCTAACTTAAGGGCCTGATCTGAACTAGAACAAAGGATGAATGTTCAGGCTCTGAGCAAGAAATGTTCTGTATTTGGGTAAATCTGTCCAGCTCCGAAGACATAAATGCCATCACTGTCTGATAGCAGTTGTGAGCCCCTGGAAGGCAGGTGGTAGGACGAGGTAGGGAAGCAGAAAGGAGAGGGGGGAAGAGGCGAAGCTGCGAGTCGCAAGAGAGACGATCACTGCCACTGTTACTGCTTCACAGAAGTGTAATCGTTTGTGATCTCTTTGGAACAGGAGGTAAATAATAAAACACAAGGGAGGGAAAAGAAATTAAAATAAATGTGGCATATGAGTGCATGTTAAAACAGATGTCAGATTAAAAATGACTGAAAGGGAAATTCTTGTGCAGGGGAAAGCTGCTTTTTCCTTCAGCATTTCATATTCCACCTTCATTAGGCAGAAAGCAGAAGAGCTGCAAAGAGAGAGGGGAACTTTTGTTGTTTCCCTGTGAACGCTAAGAGAAGCCTAACGCGAGCACGGGGGGCCGTGCCGCGGCGCGCGGCGCTGGAGCCAGGCTCCGCGGGGATGCTGAGCGGACGCGCTGTGCGCGCCGAGCAATGGGACTTGGAGGTTTAAACCTGCAGCGCAGCACATCCAGGTAGTTTCATCCTCCCCATCCTCCTGTCAGTGCCTCCAGGGTAGAGCGGGCTTCTAATGTTTTCAAAAAATAAACCCTGCAATCTGGTAGGGTCATGTTAGCCTGTAATGCCCCTCAATCTACAGATCTAGGCACCAGGGGCTTCATTCTGGTTTCTTCAATACTTTTAAATGGACTGTTTCAGTGTTTGATGACAGCAGAAGTAGGGGACGTCTACAAAACAGGTATTTTTTTCCCACCTCATGGCAGCCAGGCCACAGTGATCTTTGGAGATGGCAAGCACCTGCAAATATACTGCTTCTAGCCTGTAAAACAGCATCAGCTGGTTCTCCTCTGCTAACTGTGGCTCAGAATGACTCCTTGGAATTCGTTGTCAGAAAAATGGTCAAGCCGCCACCTGCTTAAAAGTCAAGAAGCTTTAACTAAGTGCCTGCAGACAGGCCAAAGCTGGACTGTGAGGCACTCTGCTTTTCTGGAGCTCTAGCATGTGTGGCTTGTTCAGAGCACTTGACAAAATAAAGATGACCTTTATATGGTTTCTCCTTTAATCCTGTGTATAGGATGGAGTTTTTCCATAGAGGTCATCTTCCCACAGTGTTCGAGACACACCATTGCTTTTCTGTACTGTTGTACTGTACCACAGATGCTACTTCTTTCAGGCACTTAATCTGACTAGGAGGCAGCAGAGACAGAAATAAAATGTGTCCTGAAAAATTATTCTCAGCAGCTTGGAGGCTAAGTTGCTTCACTATCTCCTAAACATTTCTTGGACCTATCCTGAAAATGTCAAACCCAAAATGGAGCCCCTC